GGAAAGGGAGGAGGGCTGGAGATTGCATTACACAAACTCTTAAACAATGAGACCCAGAGAGCTTCTGGGTTGATGAACACTAAAACATGGAAAGCCTGTGAGGGTGGCACACCCAGAAAGGGTAGGGGAGCTCTTCAAACCACTCCCCTCACCCTGCTCTATGCATCTCTTCCATATGGTATTTCTGACTTGTGTCCTTTATAATAAACCTGAAAATGTAAGTAAAGTATTTTCCTGAGTTCTATGAGCCATTCTAGCAAATTATCAAACCTAAGGAGGGGGATGTGGGAACCCCCAAACTTATAGTCATAAGTACAGGGAGCCCCTAGGACTTGCAACTGGCATCTAATGTAGGACTGTCCTATGAGACTGAGCCCTTAACTTATAGGGTCTGGACTTATAGGGTCCAGGAATTAGTGTAAGAATTAAACTGAATTGAACTGTTGGACACCCAGTTGGTGTTGGAGAATTGATGCTGTTGGTGTTGGAAAACACCACACATTTAGTATCAGAAGTGGTGTCAGAAGAAAAACCTCACACCTACCCCAAAAGGTGGTGGTGAGGATTTAAGGAGTTATAACATGCCAAGCACGGAGAACGGTGCCTGGGGCACAACAAGCTCTCAATAAACGTTAGCTATACCTTATATTATCTCCAAAACTCCAGGGTGGGGGGAAGAAAAAGGAGGGTGGTGAGCAATAATCAGTAAGGTAAGGAACCGAGAGCTCACTGTGAGCCCAGCTCTGTGCTGGGCTCCCCAAGGAGGCCCGAAGAGATGCGGCCTTCAAGTACATTCTTATCCTTGGGAAGTGCATGCTGATTAGTGCCCGCCACACCACACACACGCAGACACACACACACACACACACACACACTCTCTCTCTCTCTCTCTCTCTCTCTCTCTCTCTCTTTACAGGTCAAGCCATGTGGAAAAGGTCTCTTGGGAGGAGGTCAAGGTGTCTTAGGAAAGGCTACCTGGAACAGGAGAGTTTTGGCCTTGACTTTCAAAGGCAGGTAAATGTAGGGTGTATGGAAGACAGAGCAGGGAAAGGAGGAGGACTGAGAAGGAGTTGCTGGGATGGACATCTGAGGTGTCCTTGAAGACCAAATTTCAGGGGAGAGTTTGGGGGCAAAACTAGGTGAGGCAGAGGGTAGTTCGAACAAAGAAGAGGGGCAGGTATTGAGGGGTGACTCCGTGCCTGGACTTCAGGGTTTAAGGGTGACTCCTGATGTTTCCCAGGAGCATTGACCTCGCCCAGCCACGGCAGCCCCCTCTGTGAGCATGCCTGGCTTTCCAGCCCCAGGCTGAGCCCAGCTGGAGGAAGGGCCCGGCTGCTCCAGGCCATCTGCTGGGCTGTTCCGGGCTCTACAGCGGCCTCTGGAGGAAAACAGGTCCAGGTGGATGGGACCAGTGCCTGCAGGACAGCAGCCACTGCCCAGCGGCCCCATCCTCCCTGCTTTCCCCTCCTCCTCCTCCTCTGGTCCCTTCTCACCTCTCCCTCTGCCCCACTAGGGGTTTACCCCAGGAGGAGCCTGCAAACCCCTCAAGGGAACCGGGACGTCCAAAGGCATCTGAATGCCCCTTCACGAGAGGAGGACTGGACAGCATTCTATTAGTGTGACTTGAGGAGCTGGAGGAATCCTGATGAGGGAAGTGGTGTGATCTGGACTTCACTGCTGCACGTGGTGTGCCAGGGGAAGGGAGCAGCAGGCAGTACAAGAAGCCTCACCCGTCCTGCTGCAGCGCCTTCCCCTATAAATTCACGCCTCCAGCCGGTATCCTTCCTCCCTCCCCTCCTTCCTCTCGTCCCTTCTTAAAGCCTGTTATGGCTGTTGTTTACAATACATCTGTTGACTGGGCCGGCCGAGTGGCTCAGTTGGTTAAGAGCTCGCTCAAGAGTTTGAGCTCTGAGCGACAGCAGTTCGAGTCCAGCCCGAGCTGAGCAGCCGCTGAGCTGCCAACAGGTAGCAGGATGGCTCAGCTAAAAAAACAAAACAAACAACAAAAAAAAACAATACATCTGTTGACTGATCTCCCTCATACGTGAGATTAAACTACTAGGGCTGTAGCTAAACGAAGGGTCTCTAAGTGATTCTTCTACAAGCTCCAGGATGGTTGCCCAGTTTAGAGGCAGCATAAAGATGCCAAGCTGCTTGTCCAAATCCTAGCTGTGGAACATTTTAGTTGTATGGCCTTGGGGATAATCTTTCCTCATCTGTAAGATGGGATAATACTGCTAGCTTCATCACAGTGTTGTTGGAAGGGGTTAGTGAATTAACATACTCGTATGCGAAGCACTTAGAACAGTGCCTTGGCACAAATAAGTACTAAGAATTATTATTGTTGCTGTTGTAGTTATCTTTACATAGCTCTACTGCCAGCTTGAAATGCTTCCATCCACACAGAGAAGGTGTTACAGGCCAACAGAGCAGCACTCCCACCACTGAGAAACTTTTAAGTGTTCATTCCTATAGAAATGTTAAGGATAGAAGTGTTGTCTCCTCCCTAGTTTCTTAGTTTCTTAGCCCCTGGCTTTGATTACTCTTCTCAGCAGTCTGTGAATCCTAGGCTAAAGATTGCTCCTAGCCTGAATCCTAGAATTCTCCTATCCCCCTGCTTCTTGATTGCTTTGTAAATCAGTTTCTGAATCCTAAACAATAGAAGTCTCCTACCCCTGCTTCAGATAACTGCTTGAAAGCCTGTGACTTCCTAATATCCCCCCAGGCCAATAAGCTAAATGCCAAACCCATTCTGGGCCCAGGCAACTGACACCACCTGAAAGACAGGCTGAATGGCCACAGGCTTCATCAGAGTTAACAGGTTTATTAATTTAAATTGATTTTTCCTCATTCAGGGACCTTGGGGATACAGATGACACCCCAACAAGATTGCCAGTCACAACCAAAGAAGCCAGCGTGGTCTTCCAGGTGGATCTCAAGACCCCTTCCTCTCAACTGAGATCAGCTAGAGCGAGAGTTCCGTGAATCCCCCAATAGGCAGGGACAACTCTACACCCCTGCCCAGCAGAAAGCAGATATAGAAGAAAAGACCTCCTGTCCCTCAACCTCCCATAAAGATTTTATGGGGATCACGTCTCTCAAGGAGAAAACAAGGCAGGCAGTTAGAAGCAGGCATTGGGTCTCTGTATTTCTGCAAGTCCCACAGAATGCAGCAGCCTGGGGGACCGCCCCTCTCCACCCAAAACTTCCTTTTGTACTTTAATTATCTACCCCTGCGGGAAAACAAATGGGCACAAAATACCCAACTCGATCAGACCAGTCATTCGCACCTGCACAATACCTCTTGTCAATCACAGGTGCCAATCAAGTGGTCCCACGCCCTTAGGGGAACAGCCCATTCTAGAGAAAGGGGATAGAAACTCCAAGTCCTGGGAAGTTAGCTCTGCTCTTTTTGACCGCTTTTTCCCTTTTTGAACCCCTTCCTCCCTTTTTTTTTTTTTAAAGATTTTTATTGGGGAATTGGGGGAAGGGGAACAGACAACTTGCTGTCGTTTTTGTTCTTCAGTCTAGTTGTGGAGGACGTTGCTTCACTGGCCCAAGTTGGCACCATCATTGCGCTCTTCCTGGCTGAGGCAGATCAGTCACCGGCTTCTGGACAGCCGCTCACTGCGGCTGCTGGTCACTCACGCTGGCTGCTGGCTACACACGGTAGCCCATGGCAACCCACTGCCACAGGGGCTGCAGCCTATGCCGTTGCCAGTGACCCATGGCAGCCCAGCTCCAGGTTGAGCTGTTGTTCAGCATCTTAGCTGTGGGGGGCAGTGTCACTGGCCCTCATATGTGGGATCTGAACCGGGGCCCCCTGGCGTCCCAAGCCAGTTCTTAACCATTGCGCCACTCGGCCGGCTCCCTTCCTCCCTTTTTTGAGCCTTCTGAGCCTGGCCTTTGCGCGTGGCCCACTCCAAACTCTTTGGAATGTAATTTCTCTTCTAATACTGGGTCCTTGAGCCATTCTCTACTGCTCGGGCCTACTTCTACTTCTTTAAAATGTACTATCTCTTCGAATAAACTACATTTTCAGTGCTTACTCTGGCATCTTGTTCAATTCTTTGCTCAAGTTGCCAAGGATCTGGACTTTGCGCCTAGAAGGGCCCACTCTCCAACAACAAAGGTACTCAATTTACAAAAGTTTTTCCTTAGGGCAGGCCAAGTGGCTCAGTCTGTTAAGAGCTCTGCGAGCTCTGGACCCTATCCCTAACCCTAACCATAACCCTAACCCTAACCCTGTCCCTAACTTTAAACCTGTACCTAACCTTAACCCAAACCCTAACACTGTCCCTAACCCTACCCCTACCCCTAACCCTGTCACTAACCCTAACCATGCCCCTACAAAAAAAAAAACCACAACAAAAAACAGTGCGAGCTCTGAGCAACAGTGATTTGAATCCTGGCCCGAGCTGAACTGCCACTGATCTGCCAACAGGTGACAGGATGGCTCAGGTAAAAAAAAAAAAAAAAAATTTTTTTCCTTTAAGTTAAACATTACTATTGTTACTAAGTCCTTCTGGGATGAAGGAGGTGTTCTGACCTCTTCTCTCCAACAAGAAGTTCTGAGCCACACTGGGATGATGGGAAGGTGATGGAGGATACGAAAGGCCTAGAATGGGGAAATGACAGGTCCCAAACCATTTTTGTGAAATCTCATCTCTCCCCCAAATCCAACTCCTCACCATCCCTTTCTGCAGGCTCCTCTAACATGCCAACATCCTTCTAAGCCACGCCCTGCATCTAGAGTGTCCTTTTCCCTTGGTTTCTCTGTCCTTTTCCCATATTCTACCCAGATTGCCTGGTGCATCCTGAAGGCCCCCATTGGCATATGCTGACTCCCTCTTGTCAGCCCTGTATTTATGTGCTTTGGTTTACCTGTAACTTTAAGTCTGTCCCCCATGCATGTCTGCACAACTCCAGAATTGGATCTCATACCCAAGGAGTTCCCAGGCTCCCAGGGCAGGAGTGGAGGAACCCAGATGCCCTCTTACCTGGGTCTCGGAGAGGTTCAGCTGGCGGGCCAGCTCAGTGCGCTCGCGGCCCACCACGTACTGGCAGCGCTGGAACTCCATCTCCAGGTGATACAGCTGCTCGGCGGTGAAGGATGTGCGGGTTCGCTTGGGCCGGTCCAGGTCCAGGCCCTTAGGCAGGACAATTTCCCGGATGGTGCCTTTGGCATCTGCAGAAACCATGAAAGGAGGCAGGTTAGTTAACTAGTTACAGAGTTAGGCCACCAACACGCATCTTAATTAGAAGCAGTGTGACCTAACCGGGGCTCTTTGGGTATGTGTGGGTATGGCTGTGTGACTTCTGACAAGTTGACAAGTTGTGTACCCTCTCTGGGCCTAGCTTCCTTTTTTTTTTTATGTTTTTATTGGGGGAGGGAACAGCATTGGGAAATCAGGGAAGGGGAACAGACAAGTTGCTGTCCCCCTGCTCTTCAGTCCAGTTGGGGAGGATGGCGCCTCACTGGCTCACATTGGCACTATGATCGCTGCACTCTTCCAGACTGAGGCAGATCAGTCACTGGCTATTGGATGGCTGCTCATGTCGGTTCACAGCAGCTCACACCAGCTGCTGGCCACTCACGGTAGCTTATGGCAGCCCACTGTAGCCCACGCCATCACCGGTGACCCATGGCAGCCCAGATCCAGGTCGAGCTGCCGTTTTCACCATCTTAGCTGCAGAGGGCAGCATCACTGGCCCACGTGAGATCTGAACCGATGGCCTCGCTGCTCAGAGCCCGCACCTCCAAGCCAACTCTCAACCAACGAGCCACTCTGCCGGCCCCTGGGCCTAGCTTCCTTAATCACTCAATGCAGTATGTTGTATCTAATGGGTATATGTATGTGAATGGGCCTCAATACAAATCATAGTCTGGGCAGAAAGGACTCACTCTGACTCAGCCAGGATTCTGCTCCCTCAGCAGAGTAAGGAACAAATGGAAAGAGATATACCACGTCTTCAAGTGCAGAGGAAAAGATGGGTTAGCTTTGGGTATGACCCATCACGTAAGGTTTACTGGAGGAGATGTCCAGAGTCAGGTCCTAAGCTGTGTGTGAGTGAGTATGTGTGTGTGCATGGCTGAGCACTCTGTCCACAGGCGCTTCTGGGGTCCATGAAGAAGCCAGCTGGTGGGGGTGGAGGACGGCCTGGGGAGCAGGTTTCCTTAGGAGTTGCCCAAAGACCATTGCCACTTCATCAAGCTGGGGTGCCTTCCAGAGGGGTACTGCTGCCACTTGTCACATACCTAGTTATGAATAGAAGGGCCACACTCCTGGACCCTCTAGACACAGGGTGTCCAATATTTCAGAGCCTACTTAAGAGAGATTGAAAACCCTGCAGCCCAGATAGCCTGGCTTAAAAGAACTCAGTAATAGCAACAAAGTGTTCAACAAAAGTCAGGTATTTGGGGACAGCGATATATACATCAGCTTTAACTACAGAGGCAAAAGTGATCCATATTTGAGCCATACACACTGATGGCTTGAAAACTAGTTATTAGAACATTTTGTGTCAAAAACTTGGGTGTGGAAATATGCAGTATCGTATTCTGTAGGATTTACCAAACCACTCCCAACACATGATGTCGATAATAAAAAGCTAAACTAACAGAAATTGACCATTATGTAGGAAGATCAGTGTCAATGGAAAACTTACCAATTCAAGGCAGCCCTGATCAACTACAGGCAGCCCTGATCAAGACACCCTCCCCAGTTGCAGGAATTCTAACCCTCTCTAGATGGCACGCACAATTGGGTTTTACAATGTGCCCTGAAGTGGTAGCAATGGCCACTTATGTTTTAGTCATAATAATAGCTGACACCTCTACAATGCTCGCTCTGGGACAGGCATTGTTTTAAGCACTTTAACCCTCCCAATGAAGTTGCAATTATTATCATTATCCCCATTTCACAGACGGGAAAATGGAGGAACACATTTTAAGTCACTTACCCGAGGTTGCACTGACAGCGATCAATAAGCTCTAGAAACACCCTTTATGAATACCCTCTTTAAGTAATTCTTAATGATTCAATTAATATATAATGAAGAGAACTTTGGTCATGGGTAAAAATAGAACCTTCTGGACGTGTTCATCATTGCCCCAGAAGACAGGAAAGGACCAGCTTTGGGATGTGCTGTCTGTCAGGAGGCTCCTTGTGCGCCACACAGCTGTAGAGCCTACCTTTAGAATCCCTGCTGTAGAGGGTGAGCTTGAGACCCCTCCCTCGCAATCCCCCACCATAGGATTTATGAGACCAGTTAGTTCTTCCTGGCTCCAGCCAGGGCTGGTTCACTCCTCCAGGGTGTGCTTCAGCTTCTCATGGGCTCCTGGCTCCCAGGTCCTGCCTTTGATCTGAGAGGTTCTCAAGCACCTTTGTGTACACAGCCAACTCTCAGGGAGAAGGTGAGTCTGGTCTGGGGGGGACACTGCTCAGAGGTGCCCCCTCTCCCCCACAAGGCTGGTCTTTTGAGAGCACTGGGCAGAGCACAACAAACAGATGTGGGCCCTGCTTTTGGAGTGTTGGTGAAAACCATTGGCCTTTGGGAACAACTCAAGCTTCCCCCTTTCAATCCTTCCCACATTCCAAAAAGGTAGGGTAGTATTTGTGACCCTGTTGTGACTGGGTCCTCTTTGCTCAGGTCCCACTATTTCCAATTGTGAGCCCAGTCTCAGAACTTCTTCACAAGACCCAAGTGACTCCATCTCCAAAAGCATTGATTTTATTAAAAATGTCTTGGGGGGGTGTGGACTGGAGGAAGGGTGGTGGGTGCCATATATGGTGCTGGAAATTTCACATCCTCTCCCCAGTAAGCCCCCCAAAGTCTACCTGAAGCTCTGAGCATGTGCTCCTAACAGGTCAAAGCATACACCACCACCACCACCACCACCACCACCACCACCACCACTCCTTTCCTCTTTGTAGAAGAGCTAAGAGGGACATTCTCACCTCAGGGAGCAGCCAAGGTCAGCTCTCCCTCTCAGGGTTAGGGGAGGTAGGAAACACACAAAAAAAGGCAACCTCAGACTTGCCCACCAGATATCAAAACATGCCATGCAAATAAGCACATGAAAAAGATGTTCAACATCGCTAGCCACTGGGGAAAGGCAAATTTAAACCATGAGGAACACATACTAGAATAGCTCAAATAAAAAACACCGAGATTGCCAAAGGCGGGTGAGGATGTGAAGAAACTAGATCTCTCAGACCTTGCTGGTGGGAATGTAAATGGTTCAGCCACTCTGGAAACAGGCCTGGCAGTTTCTTAGAGTTAAACGTATACTTACCATAGAACCCAGTGACCACACACCTGGGAACTTATCCTAGAGAAACAAAATCTTAGGTTCACATCAAATTGACTGATAGGACAATTTTGATGAATCTCCAGGTTATTATGATGCGTGGGGAAAAAAGAAACCACCAAAGTTAGTCTCCAAGTTTCTGAACTACATGATTCCATTCATATAGCATTATTAAAATGACAAAGTTATAGGTGAAGAACAGATCCATGGTTGCCAGGGGTTAGGTAAGGAAGGTGTGACTACAAAGGGCCAGCGTGAGGAAGTTCCTTCAGGTGACAGAACAGTTCTGTATCTTTATTTGTGGCGGTGGTTATATGAATCTATAAATGTTGTAAAGTGTCATAGAACTATATATAAAGCCGGCCGAGTGATGCGTTGGTTAAGAGTTGGCTTGGGACGCCACCTCTGAGCAGCAGGGCCCTGGTTCAGACCCCACATGAGGGCCAGTGATGCTGCGCCCTCTACAGCTAAGATGGTGAACAACAAACAGCTCGACCTGGAGCTGGGCTGCTGTGAGTCATCTAGCCCATCCTGACTGACACAGCCTCCTTCCTGGAATCATTCCTTTTCTGAGTAGAGTTTGGGAAAAGCACCAAGAAGTAGGGACAGCTTTAATTCCAGGGCCTCTTTGCAGGTAGGCTCTTGTTAAGGTGAAATGCATGACTCTAAATGGAATGAGTCCTGAGTTTTGCTGCGCCTCAGGTCTCCTCAAAGAGGGGTGAGCCCTAGGGGTACCGGGACGGGTGATTCTGTCTGAGGAGCTTTTGCCCTGGGAGAGGTGGTGAGGTGACCTCTGCCTGAGAATAGTTAGTTAATGCTCCTGACCTCCAGGACCAATTATGTCTCCCAAGAGACCCCCTCAAAGCCCTACCTGACTTCATCCCCTAGCACCCAGGAAGTTCCTTTATATGACAAGCTGTTAATGTGCTGGTTTTTAAATGTGACAAGGTCCTTCCGGCCTTACTCTGAAAATATAACATGATTACTATAAAAATTCCTTACCAAAAATGTATTCTCAAGTTTATTAATTGAAAATGAAAGAATAGTTAAGAAAAAATGATAATGTTGCATTATCACATAGCGAACTATATTGCAAATTTACAGCACTAAAATGGTATGATGCCAACACAAGCATCATGAACCAAATCCATGCATAAATGAAGATTTGGTATGTTAGAAAGATGACATTTCAAATTAGTTGAAGGAAAGACAGAATTATTAAAGGCATGACTTTTGGATGATTCACTCATTATTTGGAATAAAGTAATTAATCTCAAACTGCATACAAAAATAAACACAAGGCAGATTAAAATTTTCAGTGCAAAATATAAAGGTCTAAAAATCGCAAAACAAACTGAAAAGAATTTTTAAAAGGAAAGCAAATGACAGATTTAAGTACCTAGGAATAAAAGCTTCTGCAGGATGAGAGAGAGTTATGACAGATTGGGATGAAATATTCATAATATATGCATAACAGAGTCTTAATTTCTAGTACACACAGTCACTATAGACTGATGAGTAAAGTGAAGCAGTCCAGTGGGAAACTGAGCAAATTATATGATGGATTATTCTGAGAAGAGAAATGCAAGCAGCTAATAAATATGACAAAATACTTAAGCTTAAAGGGAATCAGAGAAAATGAAAGTTATAACAGCAATGAGATGCAATTTTTTTCCCAATGCCATCTTTTATCTATTAGGCTGGGGAAATAGTGCTGGCAAATGTGAGGGAAAATATAGGTTCTCTCAAGCTCTGTTAGTAAGAATATTATTTAATACAATATGAGGTTTCTTTTGGAGGGCAATTTCACAATGTCTCGCTCATTTAAAAATACATAAATTTTGTGTCCTGGAAATTTTATAGAGGTTTCTACC